AGAACTTATCAATGCTTGAGTAAAGAAGAGGGAACCTGCAAGGTGAGCAGGCCAATGGCCGTCACTGGTTTGTAGTGCGGAAAGGTAGGAAACAACCCTCTTCATTGTGTGTTGCAATGCACTTCACAGCCTATGATATTGACCAACGGAAGGGCTTCTATTGCTTTGTGTTCGATGCTCGTGTAAGTCTCTCTTCTTTCCTTAGTTACTCTTTCAAAACCACTTTTACTTCATCGTTTATCAAGTATAATAAATAATTAATTATTTTTTTATTCTGGTTCCAGTACAAACATACCAATCATGTTTATTATATGGATAATGATAATTATATATTGTTTCGGTGGAGATTATGAGACTGAGACATTAACCTTTGACTTGTACGATCCGCTTGTTTGCTTCCTATTTGGACCGATCGACTGTTCAGTGATTTTTAATCTTGACCGCTCGGTCACTCTCTTTACAAAAAGGGTGGAGATACATGCAAAAGACACTCCAACGCTCAAGTTAAGAGCGATTTTATGAACTGTTTGTTACAGCTAAATATTGAAGTCCTGATTGGATGTAAATAGGGCGTAGTAGAGTATGAGTTGAATGTCCCTTTACCTCAAACCTATACCCTTATTTATAGAGTTTAAAGGAATCTGACAAATTAATTTACCTCTTAATGGTCATTAATGTAAACCTTAATTGTTTAACGGTAATCGTTGTCACATTTATTGCACGTTAACTCTACTCCACAGTTGTCGGAACCGAACAAATGAGAAGCTGGTCGAGACCGATCAATAGTCTGATACCGATCGGTAACCTGCGAGTCCATAGTAACATATATTATATACAACACAGACGCATTACTACAGTGACAAAGCTTTGATTTTTCCCTCCATGCTCTGCTAGAGATTTTAGTCCTGAAATATTGAACTCAAGCTATGATATATGTAATGTGAAGTTTGTTCATATTGATTTGACTCACAAAAAGTTGTTGTGATAAGAGTAGAAGAGGAGAGAGAATAATACAATTTGATTTTTAAATTTAAAATGTGTTTAACAAATAGAAAAGTTGTTGGATTAAAAGGAATTCAAAAAAGCAGAAGAAAGAGAAAGAAAAAGTTAACGTCGTATTTGCATATTTAACCGAAAAGATGACATTGAGGCAAAATTTATTCAGTGAAGACTACTTTCACACATTTTTAAAACGAGAGACTGAATTGACATTATTCAACAAAACTAAGAACAAGCTATAAATGAAATAAAGTGTACAATTGCTATTTATGAGTACTATAGGAGGTAAATATATTTTTGTAATATAATTATTTTTTTATCATGAAATGGTTTCCATTATTGAGTTGTCTTATATGTGTCAAATTCATTTAAGGAGTTGGGAAATATGATAATATTTTTTATTATTAACTCATTCACATAAGAAAGAATTTATTTATATTTTAAAACTTTAGTTTTATTTTTTCACAAATTTTTATTTAAGTTTTAGGTATATATGTTATTTTTAAATAAAAAAGTATGTGGATGTCACTTTAGTAAAAGCATAAAGGAAATGGATACCTAATTAAAAATTAGATATGAGCTTTTTTTTATGAGTAAATAAAATATAACTTTTTATATGAGCAAATAAAATATAAAATAGATAAAACAATACCAAAACATAAATTTTTCTTCTTTATTAGTAACATTTAGATACAATCAAGATAAGATAATGAGAATGAAGCTGAATGTTTAGTAGTAAAAGATGGCTGTGTGAAGAACGGGTATAATTGTTTGTAAGAAGTGAATTATTCTTTGGCTTTTATAATTCTTAAAATATTGATTCTGGTGGCTAGAAATTTCTCTGCACATGTTTGTTTTAGGTGAATCATATTGGACAACCTATTTTTCCATCGAACAAAACATATTAATGTATTATTTGTGTCATTACAGGTTGGAAGTATCACTTCAACCGCCATAAGTTTTCAATATAGTAGATTTGAATTCATGTATTTAATTTTTTAATTTAATGTTTGTTTGTTTGTTTCATGAATATTGTATTTTTTTTAAATGTATTTTTTGAAATATTATATTGATATTTTGTTTAGGAATATTTTTGAATGGATAATTTTAGATTGCTAGGTCTTGGGTGCAATAGAAACATACATAATAATGAAAGAAGGAAATATTTTTGATGAATTGACCACCTTCTTTGATCCTCAATCAAAAGTAAGTTACTAAATAAGTTAAATAAGTTGTAGCGCTATGCTCTAACTCTAAATTCATGTGGTTTAGTTTAGAAAATTCCGAATTTAATGTACAGTAAAATGGTTGTGATAATTGGTATATATATTTGAGAGATTAAATTGCTTGTTGTTTCTTGTTCAAAATCAATGGATACATGTTGTTTTGATGCAAAAGTTTTGGGTTTAGTAAGGGACATTGATGGTTTTCTGTGGTATAAATATTGGTTTTCATATATGATGTTTTATGCGAAAATATGAGGCTTGGCAGTGGATACATGGCTGGAGATAGTGCAGTAAATATTCTGGTTATGATAATATGTAAAACAATGGATTTTAACATACACTGCAGTGATATTTCTTTGCTTAGAAAATTTATTGGTTAAATACTTAAAGTGTAGCATTGAATATGTGTATGGCCTTGTATCGAATGGACCGGCCGGCATAGGAGCAGCCCCGCAACTTAGTGAATCACCGGTATTTCGCCCGCCTCTTACTACCAGCAGCTTTGGAGGATGGGTGTTTGTTGGGAACTTCACCTCACAAGCTGCGCATCAAGACTGTCTGCTCGATAAGCACGGCCGGGTTATCATAGGGACGGCCGCTTATGTCCGGACGCACGGTAAATCTAGTTGTTAAAACGAAGATTAAGGTAAATCAGGATTAAAATTATTAGGTTGGATTTGGGCTGTGATTAACTTTTCACTAATCCCAAGCTCATAGCAAAAACTATAAATAGAGGTGAGAGGTAGGCAGGTTGCATTTACTACGCATTCATTACTGTCTCATTAAATTGCCAACAGTTTTCGTACTGACTTTGACATCGGAGAATCTTTGACAGGTTCCCCCGGAACGGTTGGAGTGGACAATAGGGCTTGGAGCATAACCGGATGGCAAGAAGACAAGAGTACAAATTTTGGAGGCATTTGGTAACTTAGTCCCAAATAATCGAAACATTTTGGCGCCCACCGTGGGGCCGTGTTACTTGCAAAACCCAATGGTGACCATGAGGAGCTAGTAGCCGTCAGAGCCGAGTGTTCGGCGCGCCTTGCCCGAGAAGGCGTGGGAAAAAGGGGAAAACAAGAGAAGACCAAGGAGAGAGGGAAGGCCGCCATGGAGGACCAGATAGAACATAGTAGTGGGCTGGACAAAACATGGAGACCCACGGAGCCGGAGGTCGAAGGTAGTAAGGCTAAGTATGTGCAAGCGGAGAGTGGTGAAGACCGAGTCCTCGTCAACGCTATTACTCCCCTTCGTGCAAGCCATCATGGACGTCCAAATATCGAAACAGTTCGTCCCACCTCAATTCAAAATATACGACAGGACTACGGACCCGGAGGCCCACATCAAAACCTTCTCAAATGCGATGGCGTTCCAGACGGGCAACAGCGCCATTTGGAGTCGAGCGTTCTCATTATCGTTGGAAGGGGAGGCGCTTGAGTGGTTTAATTCACTCCCTCCCAATTCCATTGAGAACTTTGTCGGCCTACAGCGTCTGTTCAACCGAATTGTGTCCAACAACAGTACTCAAGACCTGACCGTCTTTGAGTTGGTCACCTTGAAGCAAGGAAAGGAAGAAACATTGAGAGTATTCATGGATCGCTATCAGAGGACCGTACGACGAGTGAAGGGCTTAAGCCCGGAACTGTCCCTACATTACATCCTTCCCGCCCTTAAACATGGACCGTTTAAAGACAGCGTCTGTCGACGGGCCCCCAAAACCATGGAAGAACTGCAGGATTGGGCGACGGAGGAGATAAGGGTAGAAGAGATGAAGCTATCGTATAAGAAGGAGAGCCAGGAAAACAAGGGAGAGAGGACGGACGAGGGAAAGCCGGGCGATCAGGGTGGGAAGCCCGGGGGGTTCGGACAGAGAGAACCGCCCTACGGACCCAGATTCCAACAATACACCCCTTTGAACGCCTCCGGGAGAAGATTTTCCGAGAAATGTTAAGTACGGAACTAGTCCCAGATCCTAAGAAGCGACCCACTCCACCAGGGGCGAATGGAAATAAACATTGCGTGTACCACAAGAACATGGGCCACACTACGAAAGAATGTGTAACCCTGAAAGACAAAATTCAGGAACTAATCCATGCAGGGCAATTGAAAAAGTATGTGCGGGTTGACTGTCCCCACACGTCCATAGATCAACCCAGTCCAAGACGAACCAACCTAGGAAATCCGAGAGGCATGGAAGGATCAGAAGCAATCGGGCCGACTGTTCCCGGTCGGAAAGGCGATGAAGCAGGAGTCGTAATAGGAGCCACGACCGTCCTCTACAGGACACATCAATACAATATCTGGCGGTTTCGCTAACGGGGGATCTTCTTCATCCGCTCAGAAGCGCATTGTGCGGACGTTACAATATGTTCACTCGGTGGACGATGTCCCCCCCATTACGTTCTCAAATGAAGAATTCCACGCCCCTGATCCCGACCAGGACGATCCAATGGTGATAACGGCGGAAATCGCCCGGTACGACGTGAGCAAGGTACTGGTGGATCAAGGGAGCTCGGTGAACATCCTCTATTGGAAAACCTTCCAGCAAATGGAAATATCAGAAGACCTGATCGTCCCATACAACAAACAGATTGTGAGATTCACAGGAGAGAGGGTCGACACCAGGGGATATGTACATTTGCGTAAAAGACTGGGAACTGGTCGGAGCAGCGAGGAAAAGAGGGTAAGATACTTGCTGGTGGAGGCTAACACTTCCTACAACGGACTACTCGGTCGTCCGTGTCTGAACGCCTTTGGAGAAATTTTATCAACCTCCCAACTCACAATAAAGTATCCCTCGGACAAAGGTACAATTTGTATCGTCTGAGCGGACTAAAAGACGGCTAAGGAATACTATGTCGTGGGTTTGAAGCTTCACACCCGCATGGTGAAAAGAAGGACGGGTGGTTCAGAGGTGGCTATGGCCGACCTTGACCCAAGGACGAATACGGAGGATCGGTTGGAGCCCCTCGGGGAGACGCA